ATTTGATTGCATTGAAATCAAATATCTCTTTCATTAGTTGCAAGTAATCGTCGACGGGATCGACGACTTCGACCGTAAACTGATTGCCCGAAACGTCAAATGTCTGAACACCGAGTTTGGAGACATCCACTTTCAAGTCCTTTACGATCTGGTATTGGGTCACACTTTTGGTCAATTCGTAGATCTGGTTTGTGACCGATTCGGGCGCCGGTCCGCCATTGGATGTGTTGAATTTGATGCCAAAGTCGCCATTAGGTCCGCCCGGGTTGTGACTGGCCGTCAATATAATGCCACCGTTTGTTTGCCGTTTCCTAATGAGCGCCGATACGGCCGGAGTCGACAAAATGCCGTTTTGGCCAACGATTACATGCTTTACCTATTTTTCAAAAAATAAAACTTTTATAAACACTGAATAGTAAAGAGATATAAGACATGAAAGAGTTGTTTCAAAAACAAGATAACAAAAGGAGACGAAAGTCAAGGACTTTGAGAAACAGAAAAATGTGAAAAAATTTTGAAACAAAAAATAAGAAATTTCCTAAAAAACAAGTCTCTCTCTCGAGAGGAATGGCATTCATTACATGATTGGCCGCACAAATGGCTATAATTGTCTGCACGACATGACTGTTATGGTATCGGCCGTCGCCTCCGACCACGAGTTTGGTCCTGTCTTCGGCCGCATTCACAATACATTGTATGAAATTTTCGCTGTAATTGTTTTGCATAAAAGTTTGCACTGATTTCCGGAGACCACTTGTGCCGGGCTTTTGGCCGTCGAATGGTTTGGTGGGAACCGTTGCGATGGACAGCGAAGTCATGGCGCGATTGCTGCGGAGGACGAGTGTCTGGAGGGCGTGAGGACTAAACGATGTAAGTTTGGCACCAATTGTGTCACACAATCAGCACTTAATTCAATGACAAGTAATACACAAATGCCCTCTAATTCACTGCTTTTAAAGCCTGTCGTAAACTCCGCCCACTTTTTGTTGCTTACAATCAAAGCCACGTATAATTACTTTTACTTTTTATTCATTTAATCCATTATTTCTTACATTTATATCATTTTTAATGCAATTTTATTTTTATCGCAATTTATATGAAATTTATTGTGAAAACTATTCACAATTACTTATAACTGAAATATGGTTTAATAGGTTTGCAGTGATGTTAGCCTTAACTGTAAGTATACAGCGATATAAACACGTGAATCACGTGATAAGCGTTTGAACGTAAAGTGAAGTGAAGTTTTGGATGAGATGTGGAACCGATTGAATGGTTTGAATGGATTGTGTTGTGGTTTATGCCGAAGACAGTCATCCGTTATCACCGCTAAGAGTGTCAGAAAGAGTCACTTCTATGCCATTAAACTGACGAACAAACGGTTGGTTCGGGTGTCGGGCGCCGAGAGTTTCATATATTTGCAATCATTACTGACCAATGATTTAAGACATTTGTCGACTGCGGAGGAAGTGGTGCCGCGAAGTGCTGTCTATGCCTTTATGCTGTCGGGTTTGGGACGCGTTTTGGCCGATCTTTTCTTATATAAAGCCAAGTTATTGAGTGCTGGAGAACTGATTCTCGAGGTTATTGTCAACCATTCTTTGGGCCAGTTTTTAATGATGACATTCTTCCTCACCATTAGGTCGACTCTAGTCTCGCCTCTGCCTTAAGACGACTTCTCATTGGTTACAATACAAACCGAAATATCACTGTCGAAGCGGTCAATGACATTGATTTGTGGGCTTTAATACCGAAGACATACGACAAGAGGTTCAACGAGAACAACGATTTCTTTCTTCCAGAAGTGGTTAGCGATGACTTCCAATTAGTAGCTGATCCACGAATACCGCAAATGGGCTATCGATTGCTCACTCGGATGGGAGGCAAACGTTTCGATGATATCCTTAAATACATTGCCGACAAACGTATAGAAGAGGGAACGTTAGGCCACTACAGGACCTATAGATACCGATTGGGTGTGAGTGAGGGCTTTGACGACCTGTTGTCTGGTTTTTATTATCCCTTCGAACTGAACGGCGATTATCTGAACGCCATTTCTGTCAACAAAGGTTTCGCTGCCATTTGTCGCACATTTTATTTTCTAAAACAATTTGTTTGTTAAGGTCTGTACACATCCGAAGAGAAGACAATCAAAGTATACATGAAGGCACCGATCATCAAGAGAGTGGTGCCCATCGAGTTCTTGTGCAGTGAGTCCGAAGTGGCCCAACACTCGCCGCCGCCCTCGACGCTAATCACATGCGATCGGAACAAACAAATGGGATTCCTTAGGAATCGGAAGGGAGTCCACGGAATCGCGTGTTTGAAAGTATTGAACTATAAATCTCCCGTTTGGTACAAGAGTCTGATTCACACGCAAAGCGGTCTTCCGCTCAAGACATGGATACCCGAGTGGTGGCCCGAGAGAGTGGACGCCATTTACTTACCACAAGTAGATTACCCGCAAAATATGTTTCATGTAATTCCAGCTAAAAATTGATGACCTATTTATTTGTGAACCATTTTTTGTATAAAAATTTATAATAAAAGTCTTTAGAGTAGTCTTTAGAGAGACAATCGACTCGTTCTATAGTAACATTTCCGAGCTTTGGGTTCACCACACAGTATGGAAAGCCTCCGACAACGTTAATACACGCGGCGCCTGCAATACAATACCCATTAGTTTTATGTAGAAATAGTTATTTAAACTTTTCAAACCATATTTGCCGTTCTTGTCGACCACAACAATGGCTCCCATAGCGCTGGGATACTTCTTGAGAACCCTCTTAAGCGTTTCCTCTCCCGCTTGCTTTGGAGCCATTCCTTGTCTCATATACTCCACCGCCTGATAACTATTGATTCAATTTATTGTTAATTTAACTGTTTTTATATTATTTTAAAAGTCATAAAACACACGATAAAAGATATCTTAGCATTATATCTCCATCACCAGTGGCAGCGGCGGCGCCAACATCCTGGTCCACATAACCGCCGGCACCCGGAATAGGGCTGTCGCCCACTCGACTGAATGTTTGACAAACAATATTTAGCGCAAAACTCAGACCCAAAATAAAAGTTGACACAAACCCCGCAATTTTGTGACGCAAACCATTAGTAGAAGTGCCGACCGCTAGACTCCCGTTCCGATCGATGGCAACCATTCCGATGGTGTCGTGATTCTCGTAATTGACCAAATTCTGGCCAGTATTCTGGGGTACGTGTCCTTTGACAGGTTTATAGGGACCGCAGCCATCCTTAGGGTCGGGCACAACATTCTGCCAGTAGTTTGGCTGACATTTGCTGGCCTTCCAGTCGTTATGAGTTTTTAGTGACCATTCGCTCGTCAGACTCTCCTCTTTGAAGCCCATTTGTATCGCAAAATTTGTGGCCAAATCTCCCACTAATAGACTGTGTTGTGTGTTGTCGAGTACACGTCGGGCCACAGATATCGCATCCTTCACGCGCCGCAAACCGGCGACGGCTCCGCACTTATGGGTCGGCCTTTGAAACCAAACACAAAAGTTTGTTACAAAAGTTTGAAGAGAAAAAAATGTGAAAATGTAAGTCAAACCCATCCATAATGAGGGCGTCGAGAGTGGTCTCTCCGTTCTCGTCGGGACTGCCACCCCATCCGACCGTATGGTCGCACTGTTCCCTCTCACAGGTGGAGCACCCGATCTCCACGGCGTCCAGCGCTGAGCCGCCGATCGACAACTGTTTCCACGCTATGGTATAGGCGTTTGCGATGCGATCGCAAAGTGAGGCACAAATGTATGCAAATGTTAAGGCATTGCGAAAGTGTATAGAAATGTATAGTTTTTTGTGAAACAGATTGAGTCTCGCGTTTCAAATGCATTATTGAATTGATTTACCATTTTGTGTGGCGTTCGAGAAGTTCCACGTATTGATCACTAATGGCATTATTCCTCGTGAGTCCACACACTCAGTGGTGGCCGCCATTGACGCCATCGCCTCATCTGTGATCGCAGCCAAACACAGACACAACCACAACATTATTGCCATTCAATTGATTGCTATTATTATTATTTGTTCAACACTTTTGATCGCAAATAAAGTGCTTTTCACTGCTTTTAAAGTATGGTTTTTGACGACAATTACCCATCGATTGAATCGTTAATTATTTAATTAGTGTTTCGATTGTCTTATCATTTGGTGTTATCTTTACTTCAATTGCTTTTATTATTATTACGTAAACAAACATTTTGTGAGCGACTGTTATGTCGGCTCTTATGGCCAAAGGTGTCAAATGGATCCGATTGTCGGCAATCACTCTCTCCTGCGGTTATATTTCCTTCAATTTCATCGCTGAACCCATTCTTGTAAATCATGTTTTCATTTATTATCACATAATCACACCATTCGTGTCAGTCATCCCAGTCTTCGAAGTAGTGTTGAGTGGTTTTGAGGGATTGTCTCTCAAACCAAACCAATTATTGTTAATCCATTTGATAGACAAATGAGTGAATGCTTTGTAACCCGTTTTCCTCCTCTTTAGTCCTATGAATGGATCAAATAATTTGTATTTTTAACTATTCATTGATTTATATAAAAATCTGTGGCTTTTTTAACCATTAGTTATGAGAACCAGAATTAATTGCATTCAAATTGTTAGGCAATACTAATACATATCTTAACCTTAATTACACTGAATTATAAGACTAACGATGACTTGTTATGTCTGACCAGTGCTCGGGATCATCGATGGAGCCGACACTTCACGATAAGGACATTATACTCACTGAACGCTATTCATCAGTATTTATC